ATAAATATATTTCAATGACATTACGATCCTTTTGCCTGGGGTGAAAATAGTGTCTTTCGCTTTTTCGTTGCCATTGTTTTTTAAATTAAAAGTGAAAATTTTAGCTACGAATAAATGGGAATACTGTTAAAAAACAAAATTCAAAGCTGAAGGTGTGGCACGTGTTGCTGGTTTTCAGTGTTACACCATTCAAAATAGATCAAAATAACAATCAAAACCGTTCAATAGATAAAGTCCAGAACTTGGGAAATGAAAGGAGGTACATATACAAAGACCCTGGCCAAGATTCAGGTCAGAGGAATATTTTGTATACGAGATATCCGAAGAAATGTTTAACCAAACTTATAGAGATTTGTATGGAGACGCCATGCTGGTGCTCACCATGATGAGCTCCAACATAGCGGACGGAAACCAACAGAAAAATCTGTTACCGAGTTTTGCTACAAGAGCGTGAATTTATTCTTCGAGAAACTCATAAACATTAAAGTAATACTTTTTCTAATACGCGAACTGTTTAGATAGCAAAATTTCCTGAAATAAGTAATTTTTTAACCTACATGACAGCTCTCTTGGCCGTCATGTAACTGCCGCATCACGCAAAAGCTTATAAATTCAAGCGTACTCTATCACAAAACCAAGAACCTGCTTTTGAAGCGAAATTTGTATGAAAATTAGTTTTCAGCTGCTCTAATACATCGTGAAAGTAAAATCTCGGTAGGATCGATAGTTTTTTAGTTTGAATTTAAGTGACTTCATGTGAAAACCAGCAATTGGAAACAGCCAAAACATAAAACTAATCGACGAAAAACAGTAAACCGGCAATAAAAAGTGATGACAGAAGCAAACAAGAAATGCTCAGCTCCTTCAACCCTTACAAAAGGACCCTTACCCTTACTGTTAAAGGTAATGACACCAAACATTCACGAGCCTACTTGCAATAATTAATAGAAACAAAATAAAAACAGCAAATTTTTGAGATTATCTTGCTAATCATTTGTAAAGGCCTGAGCCAATGGAGTCAGAAAATAAATGTAGTCTGACAGTACCACGAGGAATAAATTTAGTAATGGTGCCTTCAGCGCAGGATGTTGAAAGAATTATGCAGTGATTATGTTCGATCCACAGGAAAGCCACAAAAAAAAGGTTCGGTTGATGAACGTATTTCGCTTGTTGGTACAAGATCTTGTGCCTCAAGCAAGAAAATCATTCCTACAATAATGGTACGTGCGTCTTTGAAAAGTTTTATTCACTACGTTATTAACTCATATACTACAGAGGGTTATGTCCTTTCACCGGACAGAAAAACGCCTTCATCAAAGAAAACTATCTTACAAAGCCTTTCTACTTTTCAATTTGCAACATTAAACAAGAGGATAGCTGGCTTCCGTGGCAATTCCACATTGATTATCCTTGTTCCTCGACATCATGATGTAGCCTTTCATTCCCCACGTTGTGTTCCAGGAGTTCTTGACCAACCAATAGTCCTGGCCACGATATATACCGTACCCAACAACAAGAACACCATGGTCCAGTACAGTGCTGTTACATGTTCTGCAAGTAAATAAATAAAAAAGATGCATCATTTTTCACATTACCCATGATACATCTTGTTAACCTCCGCCAAGGGGGATGATTGCAGGCTAACACACTCCCCCCAAACGATTGCGTATAGCAATTATATCCAATTTCTCTTGGCTATTACTAGCCTGTTCCAGTTGTTCAGATAATGGAAAGTGGCGCGAAATGAAGAGCGGAGGAAAAAAGAAGCGGAAGAGACGAGGAAAGTGAAAAGGTGCCCTCGCCCTCGCATCCCCTCGTTTTTTTAAAATTTGTTCCTCGGTCTGTTTTTCACCCACTCACAAGCGAAATTGAAGATAATGTCAATGCAATTCACTACTTTCACATAGACCATAATGCACCTTGTTTACCCCCCAGAATTTTGCATAACCATTGTTTCCAATTTCTCCAGGGTATTACAATCGTCCCAAGAGAAATCGAAAACAATGGTTACGCAAAGTGTTGGGCGGTAAACGAGGTGCATTATGGTCTATGCAAAAATGGTGAATTGTTTTTTCTTTCTTATGGGGGAGGAGTATTAAATGTGAAAATGGTGAATAATTCATTTCAGTTTGTTAACGAAGACAATGATGTGAACGTTAGATGGAAACGTGCTCTTTTAGTTTGAGATTGAAATTAGAAGAAGAGGATAAGAAGAAAGAATCCAAGCGTATTTCATTTGTCCTTCTTGCGCTTCAATATTTTGTCTCCTTCCCTCGCCTTTGTTTTCGTAGCGTAAAAATGTATATATTTGCCATAACCACCATAATTCTTCTTATAAGAGAGATAAGAGAGCTATTTTCTTACCATAACGAAGTATTTCGGAAAGTATTCGGAGAAGAACCATTGTAACAACCGTCGAGAAATATTCGGAAAATATCCAAAGAACCTCGAAAAGTTAGTGAAACAGAACTTCTCTAATTACTGCCCTTCAAATATTAAAGCATACAGGGATACTTGGATATATGAAATATCCTTCTGTTATTTATGAATTTGTTTTTTGTTCAACTATAAGAGACCGGAATAAGAGTGTTCAATAAACTTTAAGGCTGGCTTGTAGAAGACACTTACGGTTCGTCATAAACACCACTGTGGTAGAGCTGAAACGAGCCGTGGCTAGCATCAATTGCAACAGAGATTGGGCCTACTGTGGCAGTAGCAGTCTGAAGAGCTTCTTCGCTTCCATGCGGGGTAATGTCCATGTATCCTGTTAGAATACAGTAAGAAAACAGAAAAAAAAAATTCTCAATTTTTTTGCGCAAATCCTACGGTATGAGGTGCTGTCAAAGAGGTTTTACTTTCAATGATCAGATCCAAGAATTTCACCCACATAATACTCAGTTCTGTCAATTCTACCAAGTGAATCCACTAAGTTATTTCAGTTTTACACTGTGTAATCTTCTACTGACAAATCGAAAAGTTCTTCGGATAATCATTACCTTTTATAAAATAACTAAGATAGTACGTGCGCTCTGATTGGCCGAGAGGAGTGTTTGCATGAGAATATGTAAACATGGTTGTGGCGTCAAGATGTATTGGTTTTCGCGCGCAAATAACGCAAGAACGAATATGAAAAAGTTTTCGAGTTCAACACTCGACAAGTTTACTTTATTTACCCATTCCTTCGTCGGCTGAAACTTGGAAAATCGTTACAAAGAAGGTGTGTCAATTTTTTTTCGCGTAAGCTGACATTTGAGAGTGAAAAATCCGTATTTTGGAAATCATCTTTTTGCAAAACAAGAACATGCCCAAGACACTAGAGGCGTTGGGAGAATTCTTGACAGTTATGCAAAACCCTCGACTTCATCTCGGGTTTGCATAACTGTCTCAAATTCTCCCAAACCCTCTCGTGTTTATATCAGGCTATGCAAACACGGAAAACGTTTTCTATTGCTTAATTGTTTCAGCATTATCTGGCTTCCATGGAGGCGTGCGTGGCCGAGCGGTTAACACATCGAACTCTAGATCTGGAGGTCCGGGATTCAAGCCGCGCCTCGCCTGTCACGTTGTTTCCTTAGACAAGGAACTTTACTGCACTTTGTCTCTCTTCACCCAGGTGTATAAATGGGTACCGGGGACATACTGCTGGGGGATAACCCTGTGATGGACTTGCATCCCGTCCAGGGGGTCTAGCAATACTCCTAGGTATGCTTCATGCTAAAGAAACCGGGATAAGCTTCGGCCGTTTGGGCCTTTGGCTCTTGTGCGCCTTTACCTTTACCTGTCTGGCTTCCTCAATTACGAGCGTCTTACTGCTAGTTTTCACACAAGTACCCTCACGAGTGACAGTCATAACAGAAATTATAGGGGTTTGTATAGGGATTTTAGCTATCTTTATTTACGGCATAAAAATAGCAAGAAATATACATGATACTATCTTAGTTTTTCTCCTTGTTTTATCCACGCTGTGTTCTTAGCTTATATTTGGCTCCTAGGATTTGGCCCTTTCGGCGCGATTCCAGAGAGCTTTAGTCAGGGGCACCCTACGTCAATTTTCGGAAAATATCTGTTCGGAAGACGATTTGAGATCTACAATTTTCGGAACATTGTTATAAAATTTCTTGCTTGCCTGCCTCTCCTAGGATTTTCGAACATCTAACACCTGATATAATTGCCCTTTTTTGATAGATTTTTACCCTGAAAAGGTCACCCAGAATTTTCGATAGCCTTTTTTTGGGCTGAAATTTTCGAAAAGGTAAGTTTTGATTTCTATAAAAAAAGCCGGAATTTGAACTAGCTGGTATTTATTAAAGCCCTCTCATGTCGTAGTAAATCTTACCGGTGTCTGTAGCTCCCACGTAGGCCTGTCGAAATCGACATGGTCCGTCCCTAGCCTCATACGGATAGCTTTTCTCAGTATCAATGCCACCATTGGCTTTGATGTACTTGAAAGCATTATCCATGAATCCTCCTTCACAGCCGTAGTTGCCGTAACTTGTGGAGCAGTCAACAAGGTTCTGTTCGCTGAGTGAGACAAGGTTTCCAGTTTTCTTAAAGTGCTGTCCTTCCAGTGATCCTGTCGCACTGAAAGCCCAGCAAGAGCCGCACTGACCTAAAAATAGTTTCGGGTTCGTGATTAAATAGAGTGTAAAGCAACAACTTATTTATTAGCACTAAATACAAATAACAATTTCTACCTTAAAATTTCAAACTATGACAGCAAAATTTAAACTTGTACCTCTAGCAGTAGTTTTCGGCCGTGTGAAGATATAAATTTTCGCTGTGTAGTTTGGATCAATTCACTGGGAAACTGCCCACCTACCCCTCCCCTAAGCTAACATTTACACTAACTTCTCACTTAGGGTAAAATGATGGCTTAGGGGAGTCGGAAGTAGGCAGTTTCCCAAAAACCTAAATTGATCCACTCGGGATATATGTGGGTGACTGACATGCGACCGCATTAGCAAACCAAATAAGAATGCTTCGGAATAGAAAGAAATAATAACAATGAAAAAACACTAAACGGCTCAGTAAACCTTTCTATGACGCAGAAATACCGTGATTTAATTCCGTAGAAGGCGTAATTACCAGTAAACACCGACCTCAAATAAAGACCGCACCCAATAAGAAAAAACACTCGGTACAACTTGGTAATCTACACCATCCTGACAATTACGATTCCATATCAACAAAAAAGCGAGACATTCGACCTTAACACATCCTTCCGTTTTGCATAATAATTGCGAATGATTTATGGTATCTGTTTTCAATGTTATTTAAGACATGTGATTTTAAATAAATGCCGCCCTTGAAAAAACGTCGCGTCGGAAACAGGGCAGTATATACGGATTTAATAATACGTACCTTGATCCTTTACAGGAGTGACGTATCCCTTAGTTCTCCAGTCCACTGTAGTAGGTAGAGTGACCCCACTGGGAGGGAGGAAAGTTGAACCTTTTGTCCCATTAGAGAAATAAGAACGCAGTCCCAGGAAGAAATAGCGGTATTCATCCACTGTAAGATCACCAAACTGATTCATGGCCAAAGTGTATGAATGTCCTTCAGAATTGTGCTGTTGAACTTTCTTAAAATGATAAAGAGGAACAAAATTTTTGACCGGCTTTACGAGTATACTTTCAAAAAGTCCTTTTACTTTCTTTTCCTGGTTGGTTATGCAATTCAAGCGAAACAAGTCAACCTTGAGACTTCGGCGTCGCTCGCTCTGTCGCTGCGCAACCTCATCGAAGCTCCCTTTTTATCGCTCGCTGCGTTTTAGGAACTTACGAAAGGTCAACTTGTAGCAAGTCTATGCTTTAAGTTGTAGTTACTCAGGGACGTAAGTGATAAACGGCCTTTTTCTATAAATGCAGAATTATATCAAGAAGAGTATTATTCTCTTTCACTCCCAACCCCCCAGTAGAGATCTTTCTCTTGGGATGTCATCCACAACATAGACGAAGAAGATACGAAAAGAATTGAGGACGCTTTTCACCCTTCTTTTGCGCCCCACTCCCCCCCAAATCTCTCGTCCTGTAAAGAAAACTGGCGAAAACTACATTTTTGAAAGGGTTCATTGTCTTTGACACTTGTCAGTCAAAATTTGAATTAAGAACCAGGTGACCTTAGATACGCTCTAGTTTCTTTCTTCCTTTCTCTTCTCCCCCTCCCCCCTCCCCGACCTATAATCTCCTCTCCCCTAGCCCCTTAGGAAGGCCTGATACTCAGGCTAGGTATCTCCTGGTAGGAGTTCCGGTTCGTTTGTATCGGAGTAAAATTCCAATCAAGCATCCTCTTTCCTTCACATAACGAAGAAAAACGAAAGCAGGTGATGGTATCTAGCCCACATCCATCCATAACGTGTTAAACTATTCAGTGTGGCGATGTTTTGAATCCCAAAGAGGGTATTTCGCATAGGCCTACACAGATAATCGACTTTAGTGTGGGTTTATTTACAAAATTGTCACTCTGTACCATTATTTACCCCGCTTGTTCCGCACACTTGAAAGTCAGTCTTCCCTCAAACGAAAGGGCAAGTTTCAGTGGAGTCAGTTTAAGCATTACTATTAAGAGGAATACAGAATTTTTACAAGAGATTTGTGGTATAAAAAAGCAGCGGCTATGAAGTTTTATAATTTAGTACGTGCCTGTCCAAGTCCTGGGATATCTGTCATCTGTAGATGACCTGATAGAAACGTATTGTTTCCGTTGTCAGTCTGTTGCCATGTGGAAAGAAGCATCTTCTCTAAGCGATATGAGGCGTGGAAGAGTAATTTGTTCCTGGATTTAAATCTTATAATCCTGGGGAAAAAGTATGTTTAACGTACCCTCAGATTGTCTCTCCAAATCGCATAGCGCGCTTCTTCCTCAGTGTCTGTGCTGTATTTTTTCTCGTAAAAAGTTTTCCAAGCTTGCCACTGCTGCTCATACTCAGTATGTAGAATATGGCCATTTGCAAAAGCTAGGCACAGCACAAAAGCGATAAAACCTTTCATTTGTGACGCCGTACAATGTTGGCCGCGCAAGTCGCAGGGGCACCCAACGAAGGTTTCCCCCTAATTACTTTGAAAACACTTTTTAGGCTATCCAGAGTGCTTTCAGATCTCTAGAAATGTATTCTAAGCGGCGCTAAGAAATTTATATCTGTTCGGTCATCCTAGGGTAACTTAAGTCTTTTCGAAATTACGAGGGCTTCAGTATTATTTTCCCGAAAATT